TTCTGATACAACAAAATAAAAAAATACTTACATATTATAATGTATATGTTTGTAGATAAATGTGTAAATGTCAGCAAATTATATCCCTACTCCTTAATATAGAAAAAATTAATTAATTACCAATATTACAATTTCATCAGCAATCGAAAAACTAATTCAAAAGCAAATCATTACAAATCGATTTTATTCCGGTTATTTGTTTTCATTTTCATATCCATTTTAATTTTCTTCATATCCGCTCAAGGTTTTTCTCTCACTTTTGCCATTCATGTGCATTACAGTGTAATCGCTCAAACACACACACACACACTCATACACAATATATCGTAATTAATACATAGTGTCCTTCATGACCACTTTGTTGAATGGTCTCGGGAGAAGTGTGTTATAGAAACCATACATACATATGTATGCGTGTTCTCTCACTCTTTTATATTTCAATAAAAGGCAATCATCAACAATCATAACTCTTGGAATATTAAACAATTCTATGGCTGCAACTAAATTTGAATGGTGATTTGAATATGACTCAGCATTCCATAGATATGACTAGAGCTATCACTTTCATGAAGGACTCAAGAGAATATTTAAATAATATGAAACATAGTGGCGAGATTTCAGATTTTGCATTCAAATAAATATTCATGAATATATTGCTCAACAACATAAAGATTATTTACTGTAATAAAATCCATAATGTTTTAACTTTTCTATATTTGGTTTTATTTTTAAGAAAATTAATAAAAAAGTCGTTTACAAATTATAATGGACACACATGCATAGATCGCCTCAGGTAGTCGAGATATGAGGATCGGCATACTAAAAGATGCATTTAGGACCAATATTTCGCGGCGATACAAACTCATGCGGCCACACAAAGCTATAATACCCTGTCAACATAGTTGTGTAGGGTAAAAAAACTCTCATAAACATTTTCTGATATTTCTGCTCAAATCACATAAACTACAGTTATTTATCAATGTTCAGAAAAGGGGAAATTTCAAGTAGATAATCAACTCTTCAATATCTCTCACATCATATTGTCAGTATGTACAAATCCATTGAATCACTTTTCAGTATAAACAATGTATATACATAAGATTCTTACGACCCTCATTGCAAATTATTTATTGGCAAATTCTTTCCCCATTTTTGCAATACTTTCGAAAATATGGGGTTAAAAAAGAAAATATCCTCTTTTCTGATTATTATTCGGTATTTCCTTTAAAGTCTTTTTTCTTTGCGACATTTCTAAAAGAAAAACAATAAAGGATATTCCACTATTTTAAAGAGGTTCATAGTTGTTTTCGCTCAACCATTGTTTTACTCTGGTTTTGCTATTCTTTGCTGAGAGCATGGAAGTGTCTGTTCACATAGAGTATTAGAAAAATAAATAAAAGGATATAGGATTGGATTTAAAATAGCATTTTATTGTGTGACAAACCAGAAATGACACACAAAACAATCTATAGACAAAAAACAGACAGGCAGACAAACAGACAATTGAGCAGACATTTATTCATTCAGTTCATAGTGGTTGTATTCGTTCAGAGAGGATGTGTGAGGTTATGTGTATGTGTGAAGCTACGTTTCTGGCCCTTTGATAGTTTGCCAAATAACTTGAGGCATGTCAAACGTCTTTTCTCCTAGTTATTTTTGTTTTCCTTTTCCACATATTGTGTGATTTTTTTTCATGCTCTCTTCAGTTTTTCATTGGCTCAGCTGTCTTCCTATGAGTATTGTGGAATAGAAAAAAAAACAAATCCAAAACGAATAGAAGTAGACAAGAGAAGAATTTTTTTCTCGAAAGGGTTGACATGTTAGGCCTTTTTTCACTTAAAATCAACGATAATTGATGACAAGAAGGACCTCAAAAGCCAACACCGACTTATGCAAGTGATTTATCACTCCAATCAATAAGGGGAAATTATGAAATTATTCCCCTTTCAGTAAAAAAGTCAAAACGTAATCAAAGACCTCTTAATAATTTCTTTGATTTCACTGTAATCGAATTGATTTGTTATGTGAGTGTGTGTGTGTGTTTAGGTGTTGTGTGTCGCGAGTAGCTCCCAAAACGCCTGGGTGTATCGTTATTTATGTAATGAATTATTTAAGTGGAGTAGAGTAGGTGAAGCACTGCTAAACTTAATTGCGTTTATTATTAACACAGCGTTTGTTAGTTAACGTGGTTAAAATATTGAAATAAAACAAAAACAACGTAGTAAGTCACGCAACTTTTACGTGGCGATGGGGGAATTTACAGCAAAAGAAAAAAATATTTGCAATACAATTTTTTATCATTTGCTATGAAAACTGTATCCATTAAAATTTGCAGGGATGATACACATGATATTTTAAAATTTGTCTAACGAACCTTTCTATAAAAAACTATTGTGTTAGAACACCTACTCAGCACATGTCCACCGTTCGTTACCATTCCTGCTTCCTGGTAGTGGTAGCTCCCAGGAAGCGAACATTATTTTCACAAAATCTCAGAGATTTCGTGAATAAAAGTGAACTGATAAACAATGCATAGATTGAGTTTATTTTTCGTTTTACATTTCACTGTTCTAAGTCTACTGGATATGAGAGTATTGTCTAATTGTCAGCTGTTTTACTTGCTAAAAAAGTTAATATCAATAATGATATATTAGTTTGGGGGAAAAAATCCATTATTTTTTCGGCAGATGGCTGTACTGATAGATTTCTGGTAAAGTATCGATCAAACAATTTCAGATTTATACGCGTTGGAAGTGTGGCATATCGAAGTATTTATGAAATTCGCTGCATTTTACAGTTTTTCGTTGACAAAGGCGAAAATGTAAGCCAAGCGGCTAAAATTGTGAATGGTGTTTATGGTGCCGATACTGTAACAGCCAATTATGTGCAATTTTGGTTTCGTAGATTCCATTCAGGATTTTTTTGTGTTAAAAATGAACGCCTCGTCGGGAAATGTCTTTAAAATGGCAACCAGGGATGGTCTGTTTGACGACTGTCAAAAAGTTGTAAACGTCGAAAACGTCATATACCTGTATAAAATGCAATAAATGTAGTAAACGTCATTTATTTCAATATTATAACCATATACAGTTATTTTCAAGAATATATATTATTTTTACGTACATCTGACTATTCCTTACTAATGCTTATAAAAAATTCTGAACTTTTTAGAGAAGAAAATGTTGACATTTTATATGGATTTGATATGTGCGTAATTTTCGAATTGATTAATGGAAGTAGCTATCTTGTCAAAAACCTAATTGTTTTGGGGGGGTTTCCGACGTATGTATTATACGTCGGAAATGTATGTCATTTACGTCACTGTTTCTGACGGACCATCTCTGATGGCAACAAATCATACAACAAAACGGTGCATATTTGGCCCAAATTGGATATTCCGAAGCATGTTAAATAAAGGCATATAGTTCATATAAAAATAATGGATTTATTTTTCCCCAGTCTAATATATTCTTGAACATAATAAAATACTATATGGGCTTAGACAATACTAATAGAATTAATTTGGCAAATTTATTTCCCTTTAGTGAGTTGTGCACAATGTCTATGAATCGTCACTGGTTCCGAAAAAAACAATTGCTTATAATTGTTGGAACCTAAAATTGAAGTATTATCATTAATATTTCCTTGAGTTATTTCTGCGTAATTTTATGTAATTGCTGTTAATTATTTATCCAATTTTTTTTGGCTTCTTCGTTTTTTTTTCACTGGCAATTCATTCACTCAATACCTTACAGGTTGTCTGACTGCCGGTGTTGGGTTGCTTGCCTTGTTAGTAAGCCATATCAAAATATTTCATTTTCTTTTGGCCTCCCATTGTTATAGCAAAACGTCCTATCGTTATTGCGTAGTTGCCACTTGCCATTAAAATTGTAATCTGCTTAATGATTGTTTATGTGCGTGTGTGTGTGGCATTATGCGTGGAAGGAAAGCAATTTTCATGAATTAACGTTATTAAATAATATTTGTGTGCATAACCGGGAATTTTTTATTGTTAAATATGAAGTTCAAGGTTAACAAATTTTGGTAGAGGCATTTTTTATTATAAAAAAAAACAGTATCTGACATGAATTTTTTGCAATGCATACGAAAGTAATGATAAGAGATAAGGTTGGTTTAATGTCGACTCAAATATAACGCACAATATTACACGTTCCAGATCTGGTCTATTGTATCATAATTGGTATACCTTCATTGAAAAGACTGCGTCAAATAAGGTCTAATGTGACCAATGAGATCCATTAGAATGGGACTACTATATTAGATATATACAAATGACATCAAAACTATGTTTTTTTTTTTGATCGCCTGAATATAATAAATCCAGCATTTGACATTGTTATATCTTCTCGTTAACGTTATTGGATTATTTTTTCCTAGCAAACCGATTTTTTTCCTTTGTGCAATTATTTTGCAATTGAAAGTTCTTTTTTTCACCAAACTTATCCCTTAATGACGCCATGGTGTCGAGTTGCTTGGAATTGATAGTTCTTTGCATCGTCTTAAAAAAACTAACGAATAAGGAATGTGTAAAACCAACTCTCAAACTTATAATGAATGGCCTTTAGTTTTTCTGTTTTTGACCAACGATTATTTGGACTCTAAGTCAAATACAAAAGAAGGAAAAACCTTAACTTTTCGACCCTTAGTTTTTTTCTGCTTAAATTACTCTGAAGACAGGACTGAGACTAAAAGACTTTTTGAATACACACAAAGACGAAAAAACGTCCTTTCATACATCAACACCCCAGCAGACCACCAAGGCAAAAACACGAAGAAAAACGATTTTCTTCTTTCTTTTCCACACCTTGATGTTGTTGTGAGAATAATGTTAATGGCTGCTTGTTGGTTGCTTGGTGTCCATGAAGGATGTTTTTTTCTTCTTCATCTTCTTGCGAAAAACAACAATAAAAATAAAAATAGATTTATATTTCATTGCTTTTCTTCTTCTTATTCTCTTTTCATATGACCGGACACAACAGCTCCACTCGGAGTATAGGAGCACTTATCGTTGGCATGAGTTCACTGGTAATTCAAGGCCAGAAGTGGTACGGCGAGCACCAGCGCCAAATCCAAGTCAATTTGTGGGTAAGTTCAAGATCATCCATTGTTCATTTTCATTAATATCATATTAGGTAATCCGCCAGAAGATGATGTTGGCTGCATCAATCTACAAGCATTTTTCCGGGAATAAGTATATAAGTATGTGATTCTTATGATACACTAGAGCACATCGAATGAAAAATGATTTTTATATCAAATAAAAAGTTGTTTACAAGATTTCGAAATTATTACAAATCTTATTCCACAGATTTTTCCATCTATTCGATTTTTTTAATTAAAAAAAATATTCTATCAAAATTAAGTTGCAAAAATAAACATAATTCGATATGTTCTATTTCACACATAGTAGAGTGTTAGGAGCAAAATTGGTATTAGAAGTGAAAAATTAGAAAATTCGATACTCTTCAGAATTGCATCATTAATCAAGATTTCTATGTGCGAATCTCATCATATGAATGACCACATAAACACAGTGAAAACTCATCAAATAAAATTGAATAAAAGTCTTTAATATGGAAACATTTACAGAATCTATTGTTTTTATTTTTGACAACAAAAAATTACCTTTCTTGAGGGATTTCACAGTATTTTTTATATGCCAATATAAATATGCCGATATATTGTCTCATTTTTTATGTGTGTATATATCCACGGTTATTTATCGTGTTATATTTGATTGTCCGTTTTCCATTTCAGGTACAACGAACGAACCACCACTACCACGTAGAAAAAAATGCCCCGAATTGGCCTACAAATCGCATGAGTTCATTATAGGTTCCGAATACACAGATGCGCGTAACAATGCCGCTAACCGTATGCCCAGAGTAAGTATATTTTTAAAATTTGCATTTTTTGTTGTGCATAGATAATTAAATAGCTGTACTTGTTGGTCCATTCACTCAAAACCATTGCCACGAAATATATGTCACATACACTGTAGATCATTTTCATAGGGTCGCCACATAGAGTAGTTGATAAAATATGGACTTTCTTACAATATGTTTCAAAATTAGAGCAAAAATGGATCTGAATAGAAAATATTTTGCGAATAAGTTTTTTTTTCACAAAGAACCCTGAATACAAAATTACAGACACAATTGGGATTTTCGAAACAATTGAGCGAAACCGGGGACGTACACTGGATTTCGAGGGATCCGTTGATTGCTATATTGCATCAACGGATCCCCTGCATAGGATACCATTCCATACCAAATGTTATATTTTTTTTCAAAAGTTGAAAAATATATATGTTTATATTGAAATCTTAAAGATTTATAGGTTCGAATAAAATATTAAAGAAGAGAAAAAAGCGTTTTAATACCCTCCTCCTTTAATAAACATTTCAGCAATTTTTAATGGATATTTTTCCTAAAACACCAAAAAATTGACCGATATTGGCGACGCATTGTTGGGTGGATTATTCTAAAAATACTGAAATTTCAAGGGCGCAGTTATATGAGGCCATCAACAACATACCCAGGTTTTATTTCGGGAGGTTGGGTGGAAGCTGCTTTTTCAATATAAAAATTGGTATTGCAGAAAAAATTGAATGAGCACGTCCCTGGGGATGTATAGCGGAACCAATTTTGATTACATCTTGTAGGAATTACCGAACATTTGTAGTTATCATTATCTGATTCGCTATGCCTAATTGAGAACTGATATAATTCTATTTCCAAACTAACATTTTGAAATTGAAAAACGCGCTCATGAAATCCAAAATACCAAATTACAGCGAATTCACTTGAAAAACGCGCTCATGAACTCCGAAATACCGAAGAATGGGGGTACGCTTATACGGGGGCTATCCGAAAAACGGACCTATATTCATAATTTTTTTGGAGAGATTTGGTACCTATTAGGAACTGATTGACCTGCCTGCAGACAAAAGGCGATTCTAAACAAAATTAATATACCCCCCATACTATGGTGGATGGTATAAAAAAGATAAAAACTATATCATCAAATTTAAAAAATTCTTTACTTTATTCCACTTTCATCTGCTTCACTGCTTATCAAAATCTGCAACGTCATCTTTCTTCGTCACTATGTTGGCATTGTTTTCTTAACAAATTTAAATTTAAATATTTTCTTGTTTCAAAGCAAAGAAACAGCAGTACATTATTCAGTCATTCAACCATACAGCCTTCTGCCATTCAACAACGAATTCGTTTATCCTTCATCAGAGCCTGCCTCAGCATCATTTAAGCCTTATATTCCCTCACTAGCACGCACACATACCCACACTCACCGATGAGATTTTTAATGCATTGTGGCTTTAAAACTGACTGTCTGTCCTGTCGTCTTTTTCTGTGTTCATTACACACAATATATGCGACAGTATGCATGCCTTCATAGATGTAGATGTGTGTGTGTGTGTGTTTGGGTATATATATGTATTTTCCAAGCATTAAAATGCCTTGCTGTTGATTTCATTTGTTGCTATATTTTTGAATTTATAATGCAGTTGATAGTGCAGTCTAGTTGCTTGGTGCAACAACTATGGTTACAAATGTGCCTGTTTTCGTAGAAAAAAATCCAAAGAAATTCTTAACAATGGTTATTTTTAAATTTATTAAAAATATTGCATTAGTGGTGTACTATGTTTGTCAGGTCATATGTAACATTTTGTTAAATATTCAAAAAAATATTGAGATACTTAAATAATGTTAATTTATCGCTTAACTCTTTAGTTTAATATACTAAGGTGTAGTCGGAATTTTTATTCAAACAAAAACATACCTTAAATAAACTAACATCTTGTAGTCCAGATAATGTGGACTATAAGGTGTTAATTCATAGTACCGCTTGTATGTATCCTTTTGTTATTTTGCCTAATCGAACTATTTCTACATACATTTGTATTTTAGACCAGTGAAGGGTATCTAGGTTTCGACCAGGACAAATCACACTTACTTGTTTGGGTTGTAAATATTTCTTTTTTCCTTTTATGATTTATTTCTGTTGCTTCATATTGTCATATTTTTGTTGTTGTCGTTGCTTTTTCACGTTTTGTGTTTCTCTTATATATATTGTTATTTGTTTGTGTCTTTTTAGCTGTTGGCAATTCAAGAACTTTCAGCATTCACTCTTAAAGAATGCATCTCATTTTACAGGAAAGTCTAGGTTTCTTTATTAAGTTGTTGTTGTATTTTTTGTTTGTTTGTTTTGTTTTCCATTGCATTGTTTTTGTTTCTGCTGTTGTTGTTGTTTTATTATTTATGAAGAGAGTGTTATTTTGGCTTGAGGTCTTTTCAACTGCAGCAAAGTTGTCAAATACACAACAACGAAAACAAAGTTTGAATGAGACATTATATACTGGCATCATTGTCCCCCTCATCTCCGGCTACGTCATCATCATCATTATCAGTATCAACTTCACCTCCGAGTGTCTGCTTGAATGAAGTTCTGAAAAGAATTTTGAATGTCGCTAACAAGTAACTGAAGGTGTTTTTTATTTCGACATTTCTAATGAATGTAAAGTGCATGATATTTTAATTATGCATGTAAGTATATTTATATATGTGTGCTTATATTTTAAATGAGCGTTACTTGTTGCCTTCGGGAGGTGTTTCGTTTTTGTTTTTGCTAATTGGAGGGAAATGTTTAGAAAATAGATAGTGAAAGGTGTTTTCAGTAAATAATAATAAAAAAGTTTGAGAGTTTACTGGGAAATGGCAGGATTACATAGGCTGTTATTTATATTGTGGGTCATGGAAATACTGATTTAGATTAATCCTTACCTATAATTGGTCAGCAAATGCACAGAAATTGAGAAAAAAATGTTCAATTTTGCTGGATGTTAAAAATATAACCCTAGACCTATATCGATAGGAGGCCATCTACAAATGTGGCAAGGACTTCATAATACCACTATACAATGGTGTGTGTATATAGTGAACACTTCGATATAGGGCTGCGTGTAGTACCTTAACAGCGAAAATTCACGAAAAAGCGGTTTAAAATAATTCTGAGCGAAAGAAACAAACGTCTATTCGGGAATTATTTCATTGAACAGCTTGGACGAAGAGTCCTTGCTAAAATTAGTTCACTACATCCAAACAGGACTGTACATATAAAATACATTTTAAAGAGAGGTATATCGATTACAAATTTCCCGTCAAAATGATTATTTCGCTGAGTTAGATCCCGAATATCAAAATTAATATATTCTTGTTATTATAACTCATGTTACTAAGGGTATATAAGAATTTCTTTTGGAGCCCACCGAATTTGCTCTAACTGCCATTTTATGGTTTTAAAACTGAGTTTTGTAAAAAATGAGTTTTTTTATCTTCATTGTGTTAAAATTTCGGACATTCGAATTATTATAGTTGCTCTCCACAACGTCGATCCATAATATTGGTCTTAATTTATTTGCACTCAAATAAAATATTTCACTGAAAGGTCACATTTTCTACATTAGTGATTTTACAAGATTTCTATAACTCTATTTAATACACATTATAATATAATAATCCAGACAAAGTTTTATTTTTTTTTTTGTTTAAACTAAATTGATTTAGTGTTAACCATACCACATTGTTTTTGTCCATCAGAGAATATATGCATGCAAGCCAGCCAACGATCGTCGTCGTACCTCTGTGTATATTTTGTTTGTTATTTCATTATTGTTAATGGGGGGACCGAGAAGTTAAATAAAAACGAATAGGTCGGCTTACGTGCCTTCGTAATTTGTTATGGTTCGGTGGCTTTTGGGTTTGTCTCATTACCAAGCAGCATGTCAGGCATCTGTACAGCGGCCTCCCCAGGCCTATATCTCTGTGTGTTTATTGCCCATCATACCATAAAGACACGTCCGTCTAGAACACCACATCAGCTGTGTGCGTGACACACACACATACATCCATATCCTCGCTGCCACACAAACTTGCCTTTTCACAAACAGAATTGGAATTTTTGTTGATGTTCGCAATTTGTTGTTTTTCTCATTTTTTTTGTTTGTAAATATGAAATTTATGCCTTGTTAGCACTTAAAGGACATGGCTTTTTAAACGCTCACAAAAAGTTGAAGCCAGTCTTTTTTGCTGTTTTATATTGTAAATTTAAATGCCTACCATACTTAACATGTTGTGTATGGTTGGATTTTCCTTTTTTTCTTGTTTCATATGAAAAGGCTAATTTTAATAAAAACAAAAAATAATTAAAATGCCAAATGCGAATACTGTATGTGTGTGTATATGTGTGTAAGGAGGCATATATGTTGTTTCCTTTTCATATAATGATGTTAATGTGGATTTTATCCTTTTTATGTTGTTTTCTCTCCTCTCTCTCTTTCTATCTTTCTTTTACAGTCGGAAGAACGAAATGGCACACCTTCGCGACGCAGCAAATCTGAGGGTCCCCCAGCTGTGCCCAACGGACGGGCGTTTGCTATACCAACGGAAGTGGATGGACCGGAAACTAAACAGGTATGTTAACGTACAATCGCAATGTTCGCTCCCCATTTACAAAAAAATAAAGAAATGCGAACAAACCCTAAAAACTATTTACAATAAAAAAATACAAAACTCGTACACTACCCAAGTATACAACTGTGTAAGTGTGTGTATGTTAAAGAGAGTGTGCGTTAGACAGAATATTTAAATTATCCCGCTCAACCCATCATTGATATCCCTAAAGTATATCCTGTGTTCTTTTTTTTGTTGTGTGTTATCCTCTTAGTTTTCTTTATTTCGAATTCTAAGAAACCACTTTACGTTTAAGACATTTCAGAACATGAAATTTAACAGAAATTATGTAAATTCTTATTGGAATAATAAAAAAGGGAAGAAGAATGAATGCATTTTCAATGTAAATTAGTTTATCCCTTTTTTGTTTTGACCTTTGATCGAAAATAAGAATTTGATTTTTCAAATTTTATGGGAACTAAATTGAGTTTTGAAAGATTAGTTTTACAGAAACTTGAAACTGTTGGTAAGCCTTTAGAGGAGTTCCAGAAAGACAATGTTTATTGAGCAATTTATAGACTGAAGCCTATAATGACTAATTTCAAAATTTGTATAGGATTTGAAAGATATCATTAATAAAGATTTAGACTTATACATAGTTAATATCAGGAGATTATTAATTGGAAATCTCAAGACAATTTGAAGGACCCTTTACAGAAAAGAGACATTTTAATGTGAGTTTTACAAACATATTCATTATAGTAGATCTAAATGTATTATTTTATGAAGCCATAGGGGCAATATTTCTATAAAATCTTAATGTCCGATTCGTAAAACACCTAAAAAGTGTGATTATGAAGATTTTATTTACAAGCTGAAGCTACAATATAGATGTGGTATTTTATTCATTTCATTTCTCTTGAAATATAATTTTTAGTTTTTCAAATATTATTTCCCATAACAATTTGGTCACAGATGAATTTCCTTTTTGAAATGGTTATCTTCTATGTTCTGATTCATATTCGTATGGGTTTTGGGTAGAACTTATTACAGAGCAATACATGATGCATGCATGGATAGAATGACCATGAAGCCTTGTTTCGAAGCAAGTATTTATTGATTTTGTCTTGTTTCTTTCTCTTTTTTATTGGATTTTTTCACAATTTTCATTCTCACACTCTTAGATTTCCACGAATTTTCAATTTTGTTTTTTCATTCTTTTGTAAAGTAAAGAAGTAGTTTTGCCGCATTACTCGTTTTCAGTACAATATTGTTTTTTGTTTTGTTCCTCCCAACTCACCTTCTTCACTCTCATCTGGTTCTTGTTCTTGTGTGTTTTATTTTATTTTTATTTCTTGTTTTTTTCTTCTTCTCTCCTACCACAACAACAATTGATGTCGTATACGTTGTATTGTAGTATTTATCGATTAAGTGTATCGAATATGTTCTTGTGTACCATAAGTATGTGTGTTTGTATGTATCGTCTAAGAAGTGTAGTATATAAGTATGTTTAAAACGTTTTTTCTTTCTTCTTCTTGATAGCTTTTGTTGTTGTTATTGTTTTTTGTTCTGGCCATGCAGTTTGTATTTATAGGATGTCTGTTCTCTGTATGGCTGATTATAGATTATAAGGGGCTTATAATTTTCAAGTGGTTTGGTGTGCTGTCCGTCCGTCAAAACTTATGAGTCTCTAGCCCTGTTTGAGGTTTTCGTCTTTGCCATCTGTCCCATGTCTATGTCTGGCCACTACAAGACCTACATAGTGGGGTGAGCTATGCCACTTGCAAATGCCTTGTAATGTGAATTTGTTGTCAATTTGTAGAATATTACAATGTACAGTTGTTTGTTTTGGGTTTGAGGCTGTTTGTGTGTTTGTCACAAACATTTGTTACTCTTTTACGGCACTCTGCACATGGCAGCGAAGACATTGTCATCAATCTTTCTTCCTTTTCGCATCCTTGTGTGTCAAGCAGGCAGGCAGTCAACCGTTGCAGCCGGTTGCCTGTCAAATCAAAATACTTGACCGAGATGTTTGTTAATGTCGACAAGCCTCGACACAAAAACACCACTGAGAGAGAAAAAACCCAAAACCTAAAATGAAAATAAAATGTCCATTTGTCACATCTGACATTAGGTTCGATTACAGATGGCTGGATAATTTAATGAGAATTTATTGTATATCACAAAAAAAAAAAAGTTGACGATGTGCGTGTGTTTGTGCGTCTGTATGAAGGAAGCTGCATTCAATTCACATTTCGATTTGCCATCCTCATATAATCGAATAAATCACATTGCAAGTGAAATAAACACTTGACGGCCGGTCGATCGCTTGTAAATTGAGTGACAGTTCCGAATGGAGGGGGAAATGGAATCATTTTAGATATTTCAGGGAATCCAATAAATTGTTCTGCCATTTACAGGCACATAAGTTGATTGCTGCAATAAATAAGACTTAAATAAAGTTGTGGTTTAGAGAGAGAGAGAGATAGATGTTTGTATCTGGTATTAAATAATGATGAAAAATAAATAAACATATACAAAAAATAAATAATATTTTTAAGGAAATGCTGTGAACCAGTATAATTTATTCTAATATAATACATTTCAGAATTAATAAATCGATAAGTTGTTTATTAAACTTTTTTAAATGAAAAAATAAGACAGACTTTTTTTAATTTTTTTAATATTTTAAATTTTTTTTGGATAGTATAGCCGAATAGCTAAAAATTTTAAGCCAGTTTTCTTTTTCTCTTTAAAAATGTTTAATAAACAATTTATAGATTTATTGATTCTGAAATGTAGCGTATACACAATATTAAATAATATGTTTCAAATAAAGTATACGCATTGCGAACATATGTTTGTTAGTTTTGAATGTACTGTGAATCAAAAATGTCAACTTCTGATTGACTTTCACAAATTTTATATTTCAAACCTAGAAGAAATATCTCTAACAAACATAAATAAAACTTTTCCATAAAACAGTATCCGTTGATCCACAATGATCGAATCGGCTTATGTACATCAGGAACCCATAGTAAACAATAAATTTCCCATTCGACTCTCTCTCCTTTTAATGTAGTAATAGAACAATACATTATATTTTTCCAATGATCGTTTGAAGCATTTGATAATGAAGTCTTGTCAAGTTTATCACGAAGAAACTGCCAAGGCAGCTTTTAGAAGAAACACTTTTACCACAAGGCTTTATTATACAAAATAGGTATAAAAATCAAAAAATGTTTGTGTCTGTTCTTCAATTTGAACAATTTTGTTCTGATCGATTTTCAAAATTTAACCACATAATTCAAGTATAATAAATTGTAGGGGTTGAATTTGGTCGTTTCCGTTCCGTTCCTTCAAAGCATGAGCACGATCTTATTATTTACCTTGGATTCAGTTCTAAATAATTTGTCTCTCACATTTTTTTTTCATGAGTACACTGTAGGTCTCACTTACAACATCGGATATCTGAGGTTAAATTGTTAGTGATATTTTTCATGTGGTATTGATACACGTAATCCTGTTAATTCTTTTTGCCACATAAAATTGTTCCTTCTTGAATTCAATTAATGCCACTATGTTTTCGGAAGCGAATTATTGTCTTGAACCGTATAGTGTCATATATTTAGTTATATTCATTGTTGATTACTGTTATTGTTTAAATTGAAAAAAAAACAACATCCATATTTAAATTCAAACCGCATGTCAATAAACATCAGTTCATTTTTTGTTGTATACTGTATTTTATATTTAAATATACAAACCATCGATACATATTTGTATTTATTTATTTTCTTTGAGCACCTTGTACTATTAAATATATATTTTTTTAATATTAAACTGTAATTAACAATTGTAATGTAATTATGAAATAAAAAATAAATAATCCATAACAAAAATTTGTTTATAGTTCCCCCCAAAAAATAATCTATAAATTTATCAAAAAATACTTGTATTTTGTCTGTCTCTCTTTCTCGTTCTCTTTTTCCGTCTTTTTGTTTCTTTTGATTTTCTTTTTGGATGAATTCCCTCGCCCCACGAAATTTGGGTATATCTGGATGCAAATGCGAAAATGGACATAACGTAAAATGTTGCTATTACTATTATTTTTTTTTTCAAAAATTGTGTTTGGCCCGGGGGCCACTTGGCTGTGTGCGTTTATTTGGAATCCCACCTCTGCCTGTCTGTCTAACTGATTGTGTGTGTGCGTGCGTGTGTGTGTGGCTGTCTGGAATATCGTTGACACAACCATTATTTTTTGTCTCTCTACTTTCTTTCTTTCTCTTTTTTGTATATTCTCTTGTGTTTCTTTGCAGGCGGGTGAGTCGAATGGCCTATTCAAAAAGACCATCTCAAAGTTGAGCACAGAGTATCGTTTGCAATTCGTTTGGCCCAATGTACGTAGAATACGAGATCAGTCTGGGTCAAGCGTTCAAAGAACAACAGCAACAACAACAGCCAAAGAACAGCAACAGCAAGAATTCCAACCGAAAAAATCGATATCGTTGGGTGCGATTCGAGGCCAACATGGCTATCAACAGCACCATCCACTGCACCAACCAGATCTTTCCCGGCTGGCTGCAATGCCATCTGTTCACAAAAAACGTACAACCAACCAAAAAGAAGGTGCGACCAAAACATTTCACTTAGTTTTGTCGCTTTTTTAAAAAAAAAAAAAAAAAAAAAAAAAAAAAACAAAAGAAAAAAACATATTTATTTAAACCTGAAAAGATCGTTGAAAAAGTGTTGAGACAAAAGATATATAATTTTTTAATTTTATTTATTTCTTAATATTTTTTTTGTATTTTTTACTATTTTAAAATACTTTAGAGCTTTTTTTGCAGTTTCACATAAGTAATTCTTTAACATTTAATGTAGCAGTATTTTCGCTTCAAGTTTTGGAATATTCTACAACATATAAATGAGAATATTCTTAAAAGGCAATTCTTTTACAGTGATTATTAGGATTTCTTCCTCATATTCATATTCTTTACCGAAAGAACTATGTAGTTTCATATTTTATTTTAATCTCAATTATTTTTAGCCTAGCTGCTATTTTTGATGTTAGATTTTTAGTTTTAATTAATAGAAAAGTGCCTAGTTGAAATATCAATAACGATATTTCCAAGAAGAAAATTGAACAAAATACCATTGTGTTCATATGGTAGGTACTATGTGAAATTGAAATTTGTAATGTTTTCATGAAATCAAACCCCTGTTTGTTGAGAAATTATATACAAGATTAGGAATATTGGGATATCAATTTCAGTAGGATGGCTTGACTTTCATGTATACAAAATTAAGATTTTTAGGGAATAATTGAAACTTGGATAGAGTCGATGGGAATTAATGGGGTATCCAATGAATATGACGAGGTGTTGCAATTAAAGTAAATATTAGCTTGGGGAAAAAGAAATCCATTCTTTAACATGCTTCGGAATGTCCGATTTGGGCCAAATATGCTCCGTTTTGTTGTATGATTTGTTTCCATTTTAAAGGTAACATTAAAACTTCCCTACCAAGCTCCAGAAGTTTCTGGCGAGTCACTGTAGATGTGTGTGACCTGGCGTTGTCTTGGTGGAACACGACAACTCTCCTGTTGTCCAATTCCGGCCGTTTCTGGCCAATTGCTATCTTCAAACGGTCCAGTTGTTGACAGTAGAGATCCGAATTAAGCGTTTAGTCATGTGGAAGCAACTGAAAATAAATAATCCCACTAAATGCATAGCAGAACCTGGCTGTTAGCCCGGGTTTGGCTACCGTTTGAAGTGCTTCACCGTTCTTTGACCACGATCGTTATCGCACAGGGTTATAGTATATGATCCATTTTTCATCTCTTGTCACTATCCGTTTTAAAAATGAGTCTATATCATTCCGTTTGACCAAGGCTTCGCAGATGGAAATTCGATCCATCCTATTTTTGTGTTAATTTGTGTGGCACCATTTCTTAGATTTTATCGACATATTCGTAAAGATGGAAAAAAAACCCCAACCTAATATATACCACGTCTTGGGGCGGAGCGAAACCCCACATTTTAATGTGGTACGAAGGTTATCTCTGGTCTAAAACTAAAAATGCGAAAATTTACCAATAAGAGAATCCAGCATGATTCATACTCTTTTTTAACTACAAACCATAGGTTTTGAACACCCTGAAAGCATTTTCGAATATCTAGCCATTGTACGGCCGGCCAAAAATGCTTTGCTTTGACACGATGTGTCATGATACATAATGATTCGCCTTCTTGTGTCCGTTTTTCGATTGTATCGAAGACTTCGGTCAAACAAATTATGGTGTACCACTAAACATCCAGCGTAGGAGAGTGGCATCATTACCATTTTCCGAATTTTATTTCAAATTACTCCAAAGATTTTCTCTCTCGATTTACCACAAAAAATAGTAGTAGATTATGTTTCTAATGGAAAAATATTCAACTGCAGTGCCCCCACTGAAAATGTCGTTCCATGCCAAAAAACAACTCAAATCTATTAGTCCCAATAGAAATGCTAGGTTTCTTACAGACTCAGGCTAACTTTATTTCAATTTATTATCCCTGTGCTTTTTTCCATTCCCATTGGAATTGATGGTCGTCTTCGTCTACTTCCTTTGTTGTTGTTCTTGTTTTCTTTTTTTTCACTACTTTTTTGTATCTTTGGTTATTTCTCTCTCTCTGTTTATGTGTATTTGTGTTCGTCTTTATATTCCTCAAAAAGATACTACATTTATATGTTACTAAATCACATTTTCCCATATAGAACGAAATTCAAAAAAATGAACTGTTTTCTTTTAATGCAGTAACAAAGAAAATGGAAAACGAAAGATACCAAATTTCCGTTTTAATGAAATTATCATTTAATCGACTTTAAAATGCTTTTTACCCAAGTTTGACCAATCTTTTTTAGGCGATTCAAGTAAGTGCTGTTGTTGTTGAAGCCAAAAAAACAGAAGAACAAACCCTTTTTTTACATGTCTACACAAAGGGGTCCAAACTAAATGGTGATATTAAAAAAAATGTTTTATTGAAACCCAAAACAGAACAAACATATATAAATAAATGTTTAGCTTGGACTTAATTATTTTAGGTGTCCCAGAGTAGTTAACATTTGGGTTATATAATTTAGTTTAGTTTCGTTTCTTGTTGTTTTATGGTTTACCTTTAGAGATTTCTTTGCAATAGCGGGAGCATGCTAAAAGTTTGTGTTTCAGTTTATAATTTCAATTTTGCCGGTTCCAAATTGTCTGTTTTAGTTTGTTATTATAATTGAAATTTGTAAAAAAAAAAAACTAGTTTTTTGTTACCGAATTCATGTCATTATAAAAAAATCATTGTCATTTAATTTGAATCATTTAATGTCATAAAGGGGGGGATTCACATGAATGCACGGATAATGTATATATTATAATGTCAGCATAATTTAAAGGTAGACGAATATAAATTTTCGAAAAACGATACATAAGGGACGTAATCCTCATTTTGTAGGTTTTTTACTTTTACTTTGGCACAAAGGCCGGGAAATTAATGGCTAAGCCACAAATCGAGAAAAATGTAGACACAGCTTCCACAAAAATAAACGTTGTAGGTCAATATCATGAAAAGTTCGCAACGACAGATCAATAAATCCAAAACTATTCAATTTTTCTCATGTACTTGGATAATTCCGTAATTATAAAAGGATGAACCTCGGCTTCAGCTATGTCAAAAAATTGGCAATATTGCCCAATATATATGAATCGGGAGTATTTTTTTCCTTTTTGAGAAAAACGATGTATGACAACCATATCTAACCGCTTCACAATTTTAGGGATTCTATTATCTCCGAATATAAAATCTTAATAATATGTATCCAAATGAGAAATAAATTATACTTCGCATGAACTGCCCTTGAAGAATATTAATTTTTAATTTTTTTTCATGAACACTGAATTGGAATTGTTCTTGAAACTTCACAAAGGTAGTGTTTACAGCAATACATTAAGGAAGAAATCGGAAGTATATGAATAATTTGGGCAGATTTTCTGAAGTCTTGTTTACAACGACATTTTTCACTTATGGGGAATCCGAAATACTTATATTTGAATTATGACTGTAAAGTAAACGACATATTAAAACACGGTCCAATTAGCTGAAAATTTCGTTTTTATTTTTTCTTTTAATTACAATTTAAATCAAAGTGTGAAGAGTTGTCATCGAATAACGCCAAGGAAAGCAATCTATTTCATTTTTATGTATTACATAAGTTATTCAATGGGAGAAAATTTTAATGGCCCAAAATCTAGCCAAATTCCATAATCGAATTGTTCTTAATTAGGTCATATCACTCATTCATTACAAAACCCATTTAATTCCAATTAATGAAACTCATTTTCGTTTTGCATTTGCATTCTGTGTATTAATACTAACACCAACATGGAAAAATTAATATTGATTGGTTCCAATTTCGTTCTATATTCAATTGTTCAATATCTTTTTGTTATATTGTCTTTTATTTATTTTTTGTTTTCGTTGGTATTCCAAGAGGTCTGTGGCCTCTGTCAAATTCTGTACTAACTAACCTAGATGAAGAAGATGTTATAATTATTATTACGTTTTTTTTTTAGTTTTGTCTGTTCTCTTTTTCCCTGACTACTGTCTGTCGTCTGTCCTTTCTTTCCTCTGTCTGCCTTTAATTTCCAAACTACTAACTATTACTATTCCTAGTTGTTTAATTTTTGTTTTGTTTTTGGTTTTGTGAACGAAGAGTTATTTTTAGTTTTGTTTTGTCGTTTTCCTTTTTGTGTGTGTGAGTGTCAATTAACTTTAACGTTAAATAACCCAAAACAAAAATTTTTCTTTAGTTTTTTTCTTGATTTTTTCTTTTTCTGTGTAAATTGAACTCTGAAAATGAAAAAAAAAACACACACACACACAACAAAAAATAAACCCGAATAATGAGAAAACTAAAGAAAGAAATACAATTTGCTGTTGTTGTTAATTTGTTTACTAATCAAACAAATTTGAATTCGACAAAATGTAAAAAAGAGAAAGAGGAATGTTGTAACTTTTATTGCAAACATACTAAGTACTTCTACTCAATTTAAATATTTTACTACTATTGATTATTGATCGTATTCGTATTCTTATTCGAAGTATTCGTAACTTGTCATATCTAAGTAACCAACCATCATCATACATATATATATATATATATCTGACATGCATTTATTCATTTTTGTTTGAACACCAAATAGCCAATGAAACGAAATCAAGAAACTTAACGTAACCTAAATTCAGTTGGAATTTAGACGAAAAAACAAACAGAACAAGAAAACACAAAATGAATGAATGATGAATTATGTTTGACCGATGATATTTATAAGAAATCAATTTAAATGTTAATATATTTATATTTTAGCCACGCTACATGAGTTGGAGCCGCTGGTTAGCGATGCCGAAGATAGAAAACCGGTTGAAAAGTATGCAAATTATTCTAAAGCTTCTATTAATTTATGTTTCATTTTTAGTTCCATAACTTCCCATACCCAATATTTTATGATATGGATTTTTAGTTATAAAACATAAAGCATTTAGAATGATATGCCAAGGAAGGTTACGTTTGACAGGGGAATATTTGAAGAAAATATATTGAGTTACACTATACATCATATATAATCGGAATTGATTTAGGTCATATATGGTGTCGTGTACAAAGGCACTGTGTCTATAAAATTCTCCTCCGTATGTTACAAACAAGTACTACAGTTTCAAAAAAATTTAAATTGTTTCACCTAAAATTTAAATTAAAATAATTTGTAAATAACAAGTGGTTTTTCTTGAAAGAAGTCATATTTTCAATCAAAAACGATAATCCTTTGGTATACCTTTTAAATGCATTATCTTATTCTTATTTTTTAGTTCTGCAATTTATGTAAATATTTCTTAATTTTCATTTGTAACACTTAGACAATTTTCTCTCAATTTCCATTGTAAATATAACAAACATTCAAACAAAAAAATGTAGAGGGATTTATTTTTGCCACTAGAATCATCACAACAATTCCAAAATTTTCAAAATGCACCCTTCATCAGTAGTTGATCATCATGAAACATTGTGTCTTTTTTATCAAAGTCAATTAATAAACTTACATGAAATTTTATTTTTGTTTTATTTTTTTATGTGATTTATTCTCTCACCGTTCAAAAACAAACAAAAAATATTTATGAAATCCCCCCAAACAAATGGTTTATTTCAATATCCTTTGAATAACATGTGCCAACACAACTGTACGGATGCTTGCGAATGCCAAAATATGAACAAATACATGACGCTTTAAACCAAATACAAATTCAAATCGAATAATGACAAAAACTCGCTTTGTTATCCCTCATCATCTGTTAATAAAAACTGAATCGAAATCCTCAAAATCGTATCATCAACTTTTCAAAACGATGGCATCTCTGTTTTTTTAAAAATAAAAAAAAACACACACAAAACTACCTCTGTTCCCCCCATCAACCTAATAAACAAATATTTAAATCAATCAAAATGGCTTTAAAACTGCACTGGCTTTTAAACCAAACAAACGAACAAATAAAAATAATAATAAAAACCATGAAACCATCAAAATGACAACTATACTTTGTACAAAAAAAAAAAAAAAACCCTAAAAAATTGCACAAAAATTTCCAAATAACCAACTCAACCAACAAAACCATTAGACAAGTAACTATACAGGAGAGAAAGGTTACCACCCGACCCTTCTCCCAGCTGATTGATCAAGAGCGACCCAATCACTTTATTACGAAGAAGGAGAACTTTGGTTTCGAGGAGGCAACCGATGGTGACAATAAGCGGCAACATGCCAAGCAGGAGGCTGAGATTATCATGAATGGCTCGGCTCCACCACATTCGAAACCGAATTTGGATTTGTGGTTCAAAGAGGTAGTAGAATTGCGTAAAAAGGCTGGAGAATATAAGGTCAGTGAAATGAGTTTGTTTTCGTAGTATGTTAAATGACTAAATATTATTATGTTTTTTTTTTATCTAAAGTCTCGTGGTTGGGGCACCGAAATTGATCCTGAACTGTATAATAAGCAAAAGGATCTATGGGATCAGGTATCGAAACGTAGCTCACTATCATCGCTTTGTTTGGCCTCTACCATGCAAAGGTAAGTTGTAAATGAAATGCATAAAGGCTGTAACAAATTTGAATGGATTGTCTAGATATGACAACAGTGAATTGATGTATATTATATTTAAATAGTTATATAAATTGGGCGCCATCAGATTATAACTATTTAGAGGATAAGTTTAAAAACTGTAAAATAATGAAACTAATATAAAATTGATATGCTAGCACCAAAATATAAATATCTGTGCCGTTTAGATAGTCCCATATAAAGCCTCGCCCCATTTTCGGTAGTTTGAAGGGTTTAGCAGTATAAATACCATTGCAGAATTTTTTGAAAATAGTTCCATGTTTTGTATGTCTCCCACACAACGATATCGGTATTTTAAAGGGTTTATCCGAATTTTCAAACGAATCACAAAGGCCCCGTCCCATTTTCTCGGTATTTCCCACAATTTGTGTTTTTTTTTTCAATCAAGGGTAGCCTTAATACCATGTTTCGGCGAAGCACAGCTTCAAATCAGTATTAACTCATTTGATGCCACCGACCTTTTTAAAGGACACCAACAATGGTGATGTCACTCCTAGGGATAAGTAAATCGACTTTCGATTAATCGACCTTTCGTATTGAAAAGTCGAAGTCGACTTTTGATCTTTGAGAAAATCGCAAAGTCGCTTTTTCAAGATAGACATTTCCAAAATATTCCAAAATCGACATGAAGCCAAAATAGCCCAAACATAATACATCCCAGAACTTTATTTTATCTGTTGACAAAATTTTATATAAAAAATAAAATTTTTAGTTGATTCTGCATTGATCCGTAAAAATCGAAAATCGATTTTGAACAGGTTTGACAAAATCTAAAGATCGAAAAGTCGACTTTATAGTCAAACTAAAAATCGAAAGTCTAAAAGCGACTTTTAGATCAGAGGCAAACATCAAAAAGTCTATAAGTCAAATTTTGCAGCTCGACTAAGTATCCCTATTCACCCCTAGAATATAACTATTACTTAAGAGAATACCTCTAAGTTATTTATTTTGTTGTTATGTCTTCTTTTATACGTCCTCAGCATAACTATATTCCAAAATAGTTTATTATTCATAACATTTAGCACATGGATATTGAAATTACATTTTGAACATTCATTCATTCACTCCAATTATTGTACCCTTTATAAATGAATAAAACATTTTCAAATTATTCTACTTTTAGACCCATTACCAAGGAAGAAAAAGAACAGGAAAACAACAAGAAAACAACTCCTGTATCGAAAAAGCCTAGAATTCCTGGACAGGCTTATATTTTGGATAACAAAGATGAACCCAATGCACTGCCAGCACGTTTTAGTCATATACGTCACCATTTGGAACGCACCACTGGACCAGGTTAATTGAAATTAACTTCGTTGATAAATTTACAGCAAATTTATACTTTCATTTCATTTTATAGATGTTGAAGAGGGCGCCCTACTGCCTTCCCCCACCAGGGAGAAATTGATGCCTGCTATAACTAAACGTGAATCCGAATCTCAAAGGGGTAGCCCCAAGAAAACAGCAGCCTCTCGTCATGGTTCTCCTCAAAAGGGTAGTCCACAAAAGGGCAGTCCCAAGAAGGTGTTGAAAAGTAAGTACCACCACCTATTAAAGTATTTACCAATAAGTTAGTCCAACACAGTAAAACCAGTAAAACTTTTCTCCACAATTTGATTTTGGAAAAAAAACACAATAATGAAAACGAGAAACACTTTCCCATGAACACTTACCTATAACAAGCGTATTCAATTAAACACAATAAAGCACTCCTTGAATAATTAATTACCGCAAGGAGGTGTGGAACTCCTCTCAATCAAATTCCACAACACAGACACCCAACACCACTGACCCACAACCAACCACCGCCACACACAACCACCACCACCAACAACTATACCTATCTTCTATGCAGACCAAAAAACAAACAAGATGAAAAAAAATAATAATTTCCTCATTTTCCTAGTTTCCGATTTCAATTAAATAATTTACGAAATTTTTAATTTAGTTTCAACTTTCTATTCTATTCTATTCTAAATTTTATGTTTGGTTTTTGGTTCAGTTTGCTTTTCACTTGCAAGCGAGAATTTGTTTGTCTTGCTCTACTTATCTCTTGAATGGTGGATGTGGAGTGAAATGAAAAAACCAAAATAAGTTTTGTTTTTGCCTGTTTTCAGTTGCAAGTTTTGTTCTTTATTTGATTAGCTTTTTTGGCCGTTAATATTTGTTTTTGGTTAAAGCGTTTCTGATTGCAGTTTTTAAAATCTTGAAAAAAAAATATTTTTTTTCGATGGAACATTATTTGTTTAATGTCTACTTGCTGTGTAAGGCGGTGACCAATGACACTAGCCGGGTATTGGTGATTTTTTTTTTGTTACTTTGGAAGGTGAAGTTGTAGGTTGTATTAAATGTGGGTTGTATTTGATTTAAACGTGTAATTTTAAAAAAAGAAACAGCAGAGTATCGTAAAAATATATTATTTTAATACCCTAAACAACTATGTTGACATGGTATTATAGCTTTGTGCAGCCCCAAGAATTTGTAACGCCGCGAAATATTGGTCCTAGACCCACCTTTAAGTATACCGATCGTTACATCTCGAAAAGCATGCCTGTTTCGATGAAGATCGGTCAAATGGACACTGACTTTTGTGTTAAAAATGATAAAATTTGTATTCTATGGCGTATATATTTACTCCTGAAGGACATAGATCCGAGAAGTTGATAGTATATTCAAGAGAAGTGGTTGACCTTTAAATTGATACTGTCGTATGTACTCGGATATTGTCGTATGTACTCGGATGTGTGATATTTCAGATATTATTTAGTAACCCATTACCATACTAGTGGGCGGAAATGTCGCGCTGATCGCTTTGAAATTGTCCATGAGATTCCAATGATCGATGAAAACGCCTATAATTTTCCATGATGATCAGATAATAATTTTGGGATGAAGCGAAGCGAAAACTAATTTTTTTGTGTTTTTTTCGAGTCGATCTACCACAAATATAAACTGAACATCACAACACAACCTACGGCTGCACTAAATATTAGTAATATCCGGAAATATGTCAGTGTAAGTAAGAGGTGCTGTTGACATTACAGGCATTAGGTTGGTCATAATGATGTATTTTATATCGTTCCATACTGATAATTGTAAAAATTGAGCTTAGATCCATGACGATTTTTAAAGGTCCTTTTAATACCTCGATCGTATTTATATGAAATTTCTTTGCACCAATCCGTTTTTTTCGGAGATTGCCAAATCTTTATTTACCTCATGTTTAACAACTAACGTCAGGATTTCGTAAATATTTTTTAATTATAAAAGTTCAGGAAAGTCAAAAGTTTATGCATTCTTTTTTGTTCGAGGAAATATGCTTCCAAACTCTATGGGTTATATATATATATATATATATATATGTTTTCCGGGAGGGGATTTGAAAAATTCTATGAAGTGCTATATGTAAAAATAAAATATCAACAAATCTTTAAATCATTACACTAATAAAACTATTACATCATTCAAGATCGAAAATATATTTAGTGAGTGAGTGACAATCATCAATCGATAATAGAAAAAGTGAGCTAAATCCTAGCATAGGTATATATGAAATACTGTATCAAAAACGTCTAATATTTATATCTGTGTTCGTGTGTAATTTATTTTACAATTTAGAATTTGTCTGTGTACAATTTTAGTCATTAAGTATGTAAAGTTTTTTTTTATTTGTGTTTTCACCTTAGATGAATTTGTACAATCCATGAGAAACAACAAAATTTGTTCATTAACAATCACCCTTCTTTAGTTTTAACAAGTTAAGAATAAATACAAAAAACCAAACCAAATTTCTATCATGCCATTTTCATTAACATACAAATTCAAATTTCTTCTTCAACGCATAAAAACAAAAATCCAAAATGAAACGTAACGAATTTCAAATTCGTATCGAAACACACACACATTTGACGAAACGAACAAACAACAATCGTTAATGTTCGTTCGCCCCGTAAAGCACGCTCACAATCGGTTGGCCCAGAACATGAATCGCCCAAACGTCAAATACGCTCTGCTAGCACAGCGCCCACAACACGATCAGCTGGCAAGAAAACTCCCACAGCTGCTACCGGATCGGCCACAATCGCTGAGCGTAAAGCACGACCATGTAAGTAAATCCCGTTAACAACAATCCACCCAAATCAAAACTCAAAGAAAGTAGCTACGTTCTCACACTCACACCCCTCCAAAAAATTAACAAAAAAACAACATATGTACGTACTCCCCCTCTGTCTCTCTCTCTCTCTAATTCTCTGTCTATGTAACTGTTCTGAGTATTTGAAACCCATATAGACATCTTATAACGAAAAAGTGTTAATACTGCAGCATTTAGTTTATAGAATTTGTTACTAATTCATACTTTTTTAATTTTTCGATCAGTTTTAAATTTCGTATTCATTGATTGGCCTAACAACAAAATACATAACTCCATACAAATACTAACTGTATAAATTACTATTATTATCAATTTTATACGAAAAAAATAAACAATGTTGTTCATATTCATTAAACGTTTAGCTAACTTAGTTGTAGTTTATTTTTATTGTGTTTGCGGTTACAAACAAATTTACTAACATCAATTCATCAATGATCAGTAATTTTAAGAGTATATTACATATTATACATTGAATACATGTTATGTCACCCATTCATTGTGACAACTATGATGATCATTATTTTATAATGGGTTGAACTTTTGTAATATTGTTTCCAAAGGATCCCTGATGATCCTTCATCTATAGTTTAGCATGTTTGTTTTATAGTTAATGTGTGGTCTGGACTGTTACTGTTGTAATTATTCCATGTTTTACGGTAACATTTAGAAATATGTTAATGCAAAGAAAAAAACATATTAAAAAAAAACAAGAAATAGATTTAGACTTGATCTATTTATTGTCATTTATAAAAAAATTAACTGGGATTGCCGTACCGCGGAACGTCACGCACTTGAAATTAGTATATTGAACAAGTAATAATTAGGAACATAATTTTTTGTTTTGCTCTGTTGTGTTTTAGGCAGTATAATAAATAACAAAAATGTTTTCCTTCAATTTAATGTAGTTTGCATATACAATTTATGTATATTAATATCCTAAACAGTGGTGGTCATAATTGATTAATTTGGGATAATATCTGTAATGGCTGTATATGTGTTGTATTAGAATGACGTATACTTTGTCTTAAATGTCTTAATGATTTTTTAGTTAGTGATAAAATATATTTTGAAAATGTCCTAGAACAAACAATATATATGCCCACCCCTGTAGAAGGTCATTAGCACACGTAGTGCCACACTAGAATTGTATTGCTCACAATATATCTAAGGAGTTCATTAGTTAGTACATTGTGAGGTTTTCATTAGAGAAATAAATATTTGGAAATATATTTAAACAGTATGTCTCTCATTATCTATAAATACTGGAGATTGACTCCCAAATTTGTTCTTGTACAAAGCTTCAAAAGGGGTTTGCCACATATTCTCTCACTCTTGTTGCTGTGCTCTTGTGTTATGAAAATTAAAAGAGCGCCGTTAAGCAATCGGCTTGATCGGCTGCCGTGCTTGGTTAATCGTTAACCACATTGTTCTATGTGGTTCTCCATCTTTTTTTTTTTTTTGTTATTGTTGTTGGATACAAAAAAGGCTTTACACTCTTTTGTTTCTCTTCTACTGAAATTAAGCTACTCTTTGTTTTATTTGTTTGAATTTCTTACTTATGAATAAATTTAATTTAAATTATTTTCTTTTTGTTTTCCTCCCCCCGTTCCACGTATTTGCCCACATTTTCTTTTGTGTTCTTTTGGATATCTAGCTACCCTTTCCACTACATTTCATAATCGTACGAAAAGTAGTTCATTACCTCCTCCTAGCGGTAGAGTTCATGCAAATAATGCCGCCGCTACTACTGCTGCTGCTACTGCAAGTGCTGCTGCTGCTAACGCTGTTGCTAATAGCGCTAACAATCAATCACAGCAATCTAGCAAATCACCACAACTGGCTCAAATGCGCAAAAGTGACAAAGACCGAAGCAATGCTGCCAAGCCACGCTCCAAATCGTCGTCTACTGCTGCTAAAGCGAAATCACCTCATTGTGTAGATACGACTCAAAGCTCAAAACGATCACCACCATCGCCGCGCATGGTAAACGGCCATATTCCTGGTGGTAATGACAGGGCTAGTGGTAATCAGGAACATGATCACGATGTTGTTGTTGTTGTTGGCCACAAACCCAATTTATTGGCATTAAATCAATTAGCTGTACCAGGTCGTGATAAGAAATTGGCTGAAAGTGAGTAGTGAAGGAAGGATGGTCGAATGTCAAATGATCAGTTGAGACATTTGAAACAGGAATGAAATGATTTTCTTAAAACAGAAATTGGTCACAAGAAAACACTGTAATATTGTTTTTTTACTTTCTTTAATTTGGCAAATACAATATTAAATGAAAAAATAACAACAAACTAAATCAAGCAAGTCAATGTCTGCCTAAAAATATTCACCTTTGTTAAAAGCAAAACTCCTGTGAATGTTACCAAACATTCTGGCCTTATCACATTAACAGTTCCATCCAGGATTAAATTAACAAAAAAATATTTCTTCTTCCAAAACAAACTTGTAAATTAAAGCTGTAAATGTGGCAAGGTTTATCTGTTGCTTTACCTTCTAAAAACGATAAGTCTTGTAACGCAAAAAGTGTTCCTAGTTTATTTTCCATTCAACCTTAAAGCCTTCAGTGTTATCCAGATAATCAACGTTCGAGTAATTCCAAAGGATATCAACCAAAATTTAATATTTGAAATATATGAAATTATTTTAAAATAAAATAAAATAAAAAAGAAACAGTAATAAAATACATAAATGATTTTATTGGCAACACTTGTGTAGAGAGTGGGTTGAATATCTACGGAATTACTCCGAAATCCCTTCAAAATTGTAAATAACAAAAATATGCTGCTATGACACATTCGTATGAATACTAAAAAAATACCAATAATAAATTGTAGTAATAAATGTTTATGTAGAACTATCTAATTTCCTCTAATTGTCTTTGTGTGCGTGTGCATATGTAGTGAATTTATACGAATTTAAGTTGCGTTTTCTCTATTCTATATAATTCTCTCCTACTCGTAGTGTAACCACTATAGACACAGGACTCTTTACTCCGCTAACACTTCAGATACAAAGAAACTAACAGAAAATAAATGTAAACTAACTGTCCAAAGTAAAACGGAAACCAACAGAATTCACCACTAACATTTTTATACACTGTCACTGTCTGACAAACAAAATCACAATTCTCATAAATATCCTCCTCCCCCTCTCTCTATCTCTCTCACTCTATTTAACTTTTGTCATATTAACTCTTTCCAATTCTCAGTTTATTTGTTGAAATCATTTTAATGCTTTCTGTTTATTTGTTCATTCAGAGAATTGTTATTAATTGTTGTTAAGCGGCTTTTGAGCATGTCGTTTGTTTGATTGATTGTAATTTAATTTATTGTTTTATAACTTATAAAAACAAAAAAAATGTCTAGCATTTGAAATGATTTATTGAAATGTATTGTTTTGAATATTTACGAAGAAAAAAGAATCAGCTTATCGAAACTTCCTTTCTTCTTTTTTAATTTTTCAAATTAAGTTCAACAGGTCTATTTGTTTTTGTTGTTCCTACGATCTCTTGAAACTCGTAACATAACAACTTATTTGGTTAATAATTCTACTTCTACTAATACTACTAACATAATTTATTTTTTTAAATTAAAAAAGTATGCTTTGAACGATGAACAAAAACAAATTATTAATAATAAACAAATACTAATTAAATAACATTAAACCAAAAAAATATGACATAATAGTTTTTCTCTGGAATATTTTCTAATCGAATGTAAAATTTTTGTATACACAGATGAAGGCGAAGATGGCCGTGACACTGCCATTTCTGTATCCAGTTGCAGTCCTCAACCGGCACCTGAGATTCCCGATGAACCTATTGTTAAATCGCCTCCCGAGCCTACTCGCGTCAAGAGTCCTGAACAAATAATAATGCGTTCACCCGATCCAGTGAACTGGACCGTTCCACTGGACACAGGGAAAACATTTACTGTCACACAAAATGTTAAAGAAGGTTCGTTGGGTTGTTATTGAAAATGTAATGCTGCAGATAGAAGCAAAGTAATAAAAATAATCAAGATATGTCTGTGAACTTAAAAAAAAAAAAACAGCATGACTGCTAATCTACTGTTGAAAATTCAATTCCTTCCTACTTTGCTTACTTACATTCAAAATTTATTTAATTATGACACCATATTTTTAATTATGACACCATTAATTTCACCATTCGTGTTTTACAGGTGAAAATTACAGCAGACCACAAAGTGAAATAAAAGCTTCTACGCCCGTTGAAAAGCCACCACCTCCACCACAGTCGGCTCCACCAGAATTGACTGAACAAGTCAAAATGGACGGTAAGCTTTAAAGCACGCTTGTTCTTCGTAACATCCATATCCAATAAAAACCAAAAAAAAAAAAAACAAAAATGCTTTTTCAATACTAATTCGCTATTCATCATTATCATCATTAAAACCCGTATTTAATAACTAATTAAAAAACTCAAAAAAGCTTAAAGCCTATCAAGAAAGAAGCACTTTTTCGTAACACATCTTCTTCTTCGTAATTTAATCCCCTAATTACTCACGTTTGCAAAAATCCACATATTTACATCAACCACAACCACATCCATAACAACAACAACGTGAACATCAACAACAATAACAAAAACAACAAAACGCAGCCTGGAAGAATAAAAAGCCTAGCAACAACAACGAAGCAAAATCGCCACAGAGCGCACTAAGTCCTACATCGTCGTCGTTGTCGTCGTCGACCGTTAACAAGAAACCATTGCCAGGTTCATCCATACGTGTCCTGGAGGATCCATTGTTTGACGTTGATGTCATAATGGCTTCCAGTGCTGCCGCTGCGGCTACTGGCACCAGTGCTACTGCTGCCAATCTGTCATCATCTTCGAATTCAACAACAACCACAGCTTCAACAGCTCGTTCAACAGCTACCGAAGTGCTAGAAAAGGCTCGTGACCGTTTTGATCGCTTCTGGGGCGGCAATGTAACCAAAGAAGAAAGTGTCTAAGCGTTTAGTTAAGTGTCATTTTATTCTTTTGTTTTTTTTTAATGGAAAACAAATTGCTAAGAGAGAAAAAAAGAAACTAGAAAAACTTTAAAGAACCACAAGAAAGAAAACAATAAGAACAGAATTACAAAAAGAAACCAATACTTAAATTCCTCCGGTTTTAAAATCATCTGTTGTTTTTTTGATATAAGCAATTGGTTTATGTGTGCACAGAGTACACGGGCAAATCCTGTTTTCAAAGGGAGTTACAACTATTTGACACCCTTCTATACTCGTACTGCAAGACCTCAAATTATATGTTCTTAGATTTTATAGCAATATAAACATGCTTTTACACCGGATGGTTATATACACACATCCAAAGCCGTGCCCCGCCCATCTCCATTTTTTCTGATTTTAGCTTTAGGCTGTCAGCTTAAGGCCATTGCCTGTTAGAAGTTTTCAAATAATAAAAAATAAAACATTTTTATTCTAGGAAAATTAGTCTATAAATCATCCATTCACTCGAATCTTAAACGTGAGAAGTCATTTGTTTCAAAAATATCCATGGAACTCCATTTTGTTAAAATAGAGGGAATTATGTCTGCAATGTTAAAAATGGGAATAAACCGCATCAAATCTAATATACAGAATTTCCATAAGATAAACATATATGAGATATTAAATAATGGAAACTATTTCGCTTTCGCATAAATTATTCGATTTTATTTTAGGATATTCATGCGTTGATATGTTAGTCAGCCAATTCCTAAATAGTTCCTCCACAATCAATAAAATTGATTATTAAGTTTGGTATTTCTCTATCTCTCTCTCTTATATCCAATAACTGATATAACTGATATATACATACAGAGTGGGAATGAATGTACTCAGTAGTAATTTACTTCACAGGGCGGATGTACTGTGCAATTCAATGATACGCCGAGCCTCTTACAGCCATAAGAGTATAGCTAAGAAGTTAAAATTAATTTTTTTCGAAATAATGTCTACCTTTTGAAGCAATAAAATCGAGTATTATATAATAGTCTTTATTTTATCCAAAATGGAGTAATCTTATTTTTTTTCTTCATAAACCAAAGACACGAAGACCCGTCCAAAATAACACAAAAAATATAAATAAAAAAATGTGAAAATTTTTAGGTAAAAAATATAAACACTCGACACAAAACACAACTACACACATACATACACACAAAATCAGTGGCGAAAAGAATGTTTTAGATTTTTTAGACCCACAAAAACTACACCAAACATTCAGGCATAGAAGTTTCCGTCATGAAGTTATACAAAACAAAAAAATGTATTTTTCTAAAATCGTAAGACATCCAAATAGTCGGTCTGTCAGTTAGTCAGGTAAAACGTTTAATTTTCGAAGGCTAATGATGACGATGATTTTAACATTTTTTTAATATATAAGAAGAAAATATAGAGTTTTTCTAAATAATAAGGACAACATACACACACATACACTTACACAAACACTCAACGAAAAATATGGCTTGACTTCTTTGTGTTCCCGATACTTAAGGCTAAATATATATTTTCAAGTGCTTATTTCAAATGGGACAATTAACATCGATAATGAATTCCCAAATATTCTCTATTCGATTGAAATGAATTACTTAATTTGTTCACATATTTCCTTCTAAAATTGATACTGAAAATTTATACTTAAAAAAAGAAAGCAAAGTATTGAAACATTTTTTTAAATTGAATTAAATCGATTGATGAAAAACAAGTATTATTGGATTATGCTAAGTAAACACAAAATAAAATAATAATAACTAAACAAAACAAAAAATAAAAAAACAAGGATACCAAAAACCTTAATAAGAAATGCATGTTACATTATATTACTCGGTGGATATATAATCACACCACCCACATATTTATTATTATATATTTATCATTATTATTATGAATTAATTAATTATTATTATGATTCTCAAAACAATCAAAACATACAACAAAACCAAAACAAAAGCTTACCATTGAATGTTTTTTGTTTATAACATGTTAAGCTTTATTTAGTTTATATATAGAATGAAATGCCTACACTGGTGTTGAATGCAATTTGTAGTTGACATTTTATTTTGGTCACAAAGACAAATTGTCGGCATTTTTTGAATCATAGATTCGTAATGCTGCTGACGATGTAACAAAAAAATTAAATTTTAACAAAGTCGATCGTTTATATTATAAAAAGAAATAATGTAAAAAAGATTGCAAATATTAAATATCAAGATTAGAGTTTCAAGTAAAGATGATGGCACCTATATTTAAAATAATATTTGATTACTCTTTAGGCTCATGATTTTAAATAGTACTAATAACAAAATATTCATAGACCCCATAATGAGGGTTTTTTTTTAATAAATGTGAGGGTCCCCTATTCAGGATGATTATGTTCGCTATTGTGAATTCTTTCCCTGTTCTTCAATTAAGTAAAAACGTACAAGGTTGCGTATGGATAACATGCAAATAAGTTCGTACCAGTTGGCGTATGATAAATACTTATAGAACTACATGACATACGGGAGAATTGCCACTCTTCGCTTTTGAGGAAAAGGACAAGCTGCTACTATTTGGCAGAGTATTTTAAAAAAAGCCCCTTATGTTCAAACATTAGTGCAGGAGATATTGATGAACAAAGATCAACGTCAACTTATCAAGTCAATACAAATGGAATATTTTTGGCAACTCCTGTTAGAAATATAAATAATTTAACCCTTTCAGTGTCAAAAAAAAAAAAATTGTCGGAATAAAAATCTAAAATTTTGTACATAAAATCATATGAAGGGACAACGTTTAGAAAAAAAATCAATTCTTATTTTAACCTTCGGACAGTTTTGTCTGTCTTTCAGCAAAAACAAAGACATCAATTATAACGGTACATATTTGCAAAGGAAGAGAGTAATAAATCGAATATCGACAAAAAATGAAAGGGTTAAAATACATTATCAATTTTGAAACATATTAATATACAGTTGTTGTAAAGTATTCATTATTCTGACATGTACGCCCGAAGAGAACATAATAGAAATGAATGCAACCATTATAATTAGGTGTTGATGAATTGTACTCATAGCAATGTACAGGTTTCTCGGAAGAACAAGAGTTACTCTCACAAAGTTTGTGTCGGTGTAAAAAAAAATCCCAAACTAATGTCTATGTATTAGTTGTCGAGCTCTGTTGCACAGCAATAGAGAAAATATTCCTCTTCATAAAACTTAAATTCCTCGTTTCTAAGCAAAGAGAAATTCCGATAATTCGTTTATGTTGTCTATGTCATCGTTCATATACCACAAAGAAGATATGTATGTCTATATAAACACAATTGTTGTAAAATATTATTAAAAGTGCCCATATATTCTAACAGAATATTTAAAAAAATTGTTATTTTGCCAACATCAAAATATATTTTCATTTTCTCAACTAGAAATTGCATTTCAAGACTGGTTATATTTGTTAGCCTATACCTACAAAAAAAAAAAAAATCCTCATATTAAAAATAAAATCATATGAATGTGTCTTTAAGCAAACAAAAAATAAAATAAATGAAAAAAACATACAACAACAAATACAAATATTAAATGTTATTTTGTACAATTACAAATAAGTTGCAAATGATCATGTTGTCGAATTGAAAAGAAACCAGAATTAGACGAAAAATGAAGTGAGAAGCTGGACGGAAAAAACGTTGAGTTTATTTCAAATAAATTTATTGATTATTTAATAAAAACAAAAATCCAATGGAACTAAAATAAAAACAATTCTTTAACCTAATCTAAGTAAATAATAATAAATGTTTAGCCTTCTTAAAACAAAACAACAACACTAATAAATGAATGCAATGAAAAGGAAAGAAACACAAAACAACTCTAAAAAAATATATACTCTCAGATCCAATATCGATTGAATTACCAATTAAAAGTATTAATTTGCAACATTTATCTACAAACAAAAAACAATAAATCAAAACATACCGAAATTCCCTTGAATCTTTGACTCAATACAAAATTGTTTTTTTTTTTTTAAATAAAACAAATCACTTATTGACAATTTACACAAGACAAAAAACAACAACAATAAATCATACAAACCAGAAAACTTCCCAATAACCATTAAAACACTTTTTAAACTAAACTCAAAATTTAGTTAGTTTTAATGAAATAGAATCACAATAAATAAATTTAATAAGCAAATAACACCGGTAGAGTTTAATTGATTTTTATTAATACTTTTTGAACAATTAAATTAATTGTCATTGAAATTAATGAAAAAATATAAACTCTACAGGTGAGAAAAGAGCAGAAAAAAAAATCATAATAGCAGAAAGAAGCACATACATACATATATAAACAAATTGCATAACTACAACTACATATAAAGAATTAAACGAAATCTAAAAAAACAAACAACAACAAAAACTTCAAATTTATATGAATGTCTCTTTCAAAACAAAGTGAAATAACAAGAGTAAAGTAAAAATGCAATATTAACATTTTTTTAGTTTAAAATTAACAAAACAAAAATAGGAATTTAATAAATTGACACTTGAAAAGAGGATACTTTTTAGCTTGGTAAACTCAAAGGTAAAATACAAGTAAAACTGAAATGTATAATCACAACTTCAGAAAACCAAAACAAAAACAAAACACCAAAAAACCATCTTAGTATTTACCACAGCTTAAATAAGACAAACAAATCCCCAAATAAAAATACTCTTCATATAGGAAAACCAAAACCAAAAAATACAACATTTTAATACTTTATAGCCAATAAGCCCACAAATACAAAATTTGAAAATCCCCCTTTTGAAACAAAAAACGAAAAAAAAAACAAATTATGAACACACAACTACACAAAACCAAAATGAAAATGAATTTACTTAAATAGTGAGCTTTTTTTAACAACAAAAAATCCCTTATCCAAAAGAATCCAAAAAAAAAAACAATTCAAAACATTGACAACACCCCCCACGCAATGAAACGTGGACACTCCCCAAAATAAAATTAAATCTACTTAAAAAAAAATAATACT